CCAGGCAGTGATTGTGCCCCGCCCCCCATGGCATGTTGTAATTCTTCAGCCGTTTTCCATCCTTGTAAAAGTCTTTCTTCTCAGACCCATCGGGGTTCAGGAATCGGTCATATCTAAATACCTGAAACAGGAAGAAGGCCTGTTTCTGACTCCACCCCCAAAACAAGCCCGCACCAAGAAAACGTATAAGGATGTTCCTAACAGTCTGGCTTATAAGAAGGAAGAACTGAAAACGGTGTACAGGTCAGCCGGGAGGGGACTGGTTACAAAATTATGGCAAAAGTTTTGTGTGTCCTGATGGAAAGAAAGTCTACAACCCGTTGCTGAATGAAAAAAAGCAAGTTTCAGAACAGTACAAGCCTATTAACACACCAATCTATTCACGTGTGTGTGTGTTGTGTGAATGTGTGCAAAGGCATAAAACCCATTTAAAGAACACACTCCAAACCCTGGCTCGGGAACTCTGTGGAACTGAAGAGGAAGGGAAATAAAGTTTTTTCTTTGCAAACATATACTTCTCTGTATTTCTATTTTATGATAAGTATATATTACTTTTGTCATGTAAAATCAAAGACATTAAAATAATTTTCTAAAAAAGAGAACATCAATTTCCTTTGCTTGAATTGCACAATAGCAAGGCAAGAATTCGGAGCACAGGGCTCGGCACGGAGTAGGTGCTGAGTGAAGCGCCGGGTGGAAAGATAGGTGAATGGAGCAGTGGGTAGACTGAGAGATGGAAGGGTGGGTCAGTGGATGGATGGGATGGATAGGTAAATAGATAATAGATGGATGGATGGTGAATGGATAGGTAAATGGATGGATCGATGGATGGATGGTGGACGGGTAGATAGATGGATGGATGATGGATGGATGGTGGGTGGATGAATGGATGGAGAGATAGGTAGATGGATGGACCGATGGATGGATAGTGGATGGGTAGGGAGATGGATGGACCGATGGATAGATGGTGGGTGGGTAGGTAGATGGATGGACCGATGGATAGATGGTGGGTGGGTAGGGAGATGGATGGACCGATGGATAGATGGTGGGTGGGTAGGGAGATGGATGGACCGATGGATAGATGGTGGGTGGGTAGGGAGATGGATGGATGATGGATGGATGGCTGGATGCACGAGAGGCTGGCTGGCTGACTGGCCATGAATGGATGGATGAATAAGCATGTGGCATAGGACCTGGTACACAGGAAGTAGCCAGTCTGTTAGCAATTGTGAAAGTCTGACCCCTCTCCAAGTCTGGGGAGAGGCAAAACTGTTGAGAAACTGACACTGAAAAAGGGGAAACTGCTTAGCGATCACAAAACACTCAGTGTGGACCAGGCACTGTGAAGGTCTTTTCTGACATGAGTTCATTTCATCTTCCTGACAACCCCATGAGGCAAGCACTAGTACGGGGTCCATTTCACAGGTGAGGAGACACACACAGAGAAGTGAAGCCACCTGCTCAAAGTCACATAGCAAACAAAGCGCAGAGCTGAGCTGACGCTGAGCCGGCGGATCCCAAAGTTACTGATTTTCCCCCACAGTCCCTGCTGTGACCAGACACCTCAGTCATTTACCTCTGGGTCTGTGTAGATTTCTGGGTCTTTCTGGGGACTCAGGAAGGGGAAGAGGAGGAGACGGTCACCACGTCGCAGGGTGAATTCTCGCCCGTCTGCCATGGGCACAGCCAGGTCCACCATGACCTCGCGGGTGATGAAGGGCGCAGCTGTGAGTCTGAGGCTCTCATTCAGCACGCTGTCTGCATGGGGTGGGAGCAAGGAAAAGAAAATGCCACCCCCATATTTTCCAGAGGACGATGAAGAGGCTCAGAGCCTTGCCCACAGCCACACAGAAAGGGGAAGAGGCCAGAAGAGAGATGTGATCTCTGTGGTCCCTCAGAGACCCTTGAACATGAGGGGGTCTGGGGCTGACCCAGAGAGAAACTGTGAGGGAGGGCGAGAGTTCGGGAGAGATCTGAAGGCTGGGGAGAGAGTGGGCCCCTCGATACCTGTTTCTGCTTCCCTGGAATGTATGAGTATTCCCCTTCTGAAAACAGTCCCCTGATTTTCCTCTGCCACTCTGAGGGCATTAACTCTACTCTCAGCTCCTGGATGAGGCTGTGATTGGCCAATCAGAGCAGCCCCCTGAGCGCGGTGATTGATTCAGGATGGGAAATGACCCAAGAGAGCCAATGAGACATGTTCCTGGGACTTTTAGTGAGAAAGTTGTAAGAGAGCTACATCCTCACAGAGCTGAGAGCAAGTCAGCTTTGAGCTGCTGGAAGCCACCGCCAACCCGAGGCTGGAGCCAGCCCAGTGGAAAACTGAGAGAATGGAGAGACACTGAGTAGTTCTCATAACACTGTTAAAGTTCCTGCCTTCAACTGTGTCTGAAGCCAGTCACTCTGGACTTTTCAGTTACAGGTCCCAGATAAAGTCTCTGTTCCCCTTCCGCCAGTTGAAGTCAGGTTGTTTTCTGCCTCCTGTTTCCAAAAATCTACTGAGACCATGAGCCACAGGCAGCTGAGACTGGAGATGCCAAGTCTATGATGACAGGAGGCTCAGGAGTACCCAAGGTGAGGGGACACTGATGGACCCTGGAGGACAGGAGCCATGTTGGAAATGCCTTTGGGGGCCCATGAAGACACAGTCTTGGAGGCTGTCTCGGAGGGGCCGACCAACTCACCAAGCACAGGCATGCTGTCCAAAGCCTTCTGTGGGAGCACGGTCATCCTAGAGACAGGCTGTTCCGCTTGCTGGAGGACACGCTCAAGCTCTTCGCGGACAGCAGCCAGGGCTTCGGGACTCTTGAGAAGAAAGAGCAGGAGCCAGAAGGCAGCAGGACCCATATTTCCCTGCAGAGAGAAGCAGCCCCTGTCACACTGTCAAGAGGGCAGAGCGAACTTGTCTCTGCAGGGACACAGCCCTGGCCAAGGCCTCGGGGTCAACAGGCCTGCCCGGATTCCCACCCGTGCCAAACATCTGGGCATGAACAGCGTCCATCTTCAGCCTCAGGACATGGCCGAAGTCTGCTATGTGGCCCAATAACCACTTCAAGGCCACTCCTGGCATCCCTGACCATGAGCAAAGATGCTGATCAGAGGTCACACAGGTAATCAGCAAAATGAGTCAGTAACAGGAGCAGGCAAGTCGGTTAAGACCACTGTGAATATCCAGGATGACTGCATTGTTGCCCCAATTCCTCCCCATCCCCAGAATCCTGCTCCTTATCACGTGACTCTGAGGTTCTGCCCACTAAAGCGGCCCAGTGGATTTGCCCACCCCTTGAATTTGGGCTGGTCTTGGACTTGACCCAGAGAATGAGGCGAAATGAACAGAACAGCAGCTCTGCCAGAAGAGACCGTGTGTGCTTCCACTTGCCAGGGGGAATTCACTGGTCCCAAGAGTAGCCTCTGTGGAGTTAGCTCCGTTTGTACCCCCCAGACCCACAGTCCTAAGAGTTCAATAAATGCCCATCGGTGTGCGCCACTGGGTTTTTGTGAATGTTTGTGCTGCAACAATAGCTGATGGCTCCAAGATCTAAAGATTTGCTTCCAATGAACACCTCCAGTCACCGTCAGTGTCGTGCGGAATGCGGCACTTCTACGTAAACATTCTATTATTGTTTCCTCATATGTAAATATTCTATCAGTCACTGGAAGAACAAGTGTGGGCTGAGAATGCAAACGCAATGCAGCCATAATCACCCATGACCATGAAAGTCGTTAACTTCTTGAATGAAAATTATTTGAAATGTCCCAACAGATAAACAATTAGGAAAATGAATGGAATTTCTTGCTCCGAGGCTTCAGCCTTGGCTGAATATTTTAATACACATTTTAGCCTGATATTTGGCATGCGGCTGACACGTGAATAGGGCACCCGTGAATGATCCAGACGGAACACCAATGCACCTCAATCTGGGGGAGGGTGACTGTCTGCCATCCATGACTGTCCCGTCCCAACATAATAATGAAATCTTTGATCCTCATTAAATATCACATTTACCCAGTAATTTCATTACAGACATAACTGCACATGGGCAGAAGGACATGTGCACAAGGATATTTATTGCAGCGTAAAAAAACTGGAAAAATCCTCATGTCTGTCAAGAGATCAATGAGATAAAGACAGATCCAGCCATAGGACAGTGATGCAGACAGTAGTTAAGAAGTAGCCAGCTTTGGGCGCGCCGAAACAGGACTCCAGGAGCACAGTAGCAAGCACATGGCAAGATGAGGGACGAGGGTCAGTGCTGCCAGGAGAGCACAGGCCATCTCGAAGAGACACAAGAAACTGGTAGCTGAGGTTGGCTCTGGGACAGAAGCTAGGAATGGGGAGGGGTGGTCTGACTTTTCTTACCTATACCCCTGTCAGCTGTTCATTTTTTTTTCTTTTTTTGAGTCAGGGTCTCACTTTGTTGCCCAGGCTGGAGTGCAGTGGCACAATCATGGCTCACTGCATCCTCAACCTCTTGGGCTCAGGCGATCCTCCCTCCTCAGCCTCCTGAATAGCAGGGACTACAGGGACTACAGGTACATACCACCACACCTGGCTAATTTCTTAATTTTTTTGTAGTGCTGGGTTGCCCAGGCTAGTCTCGAACTCCTGGACTCAAGTAATCCTCCTGCCTTGGCCTTCCAAAGTGCTGGGGTGACTGGAGTAAGCCACCAGGAGTTCACATTTCTAAAAAATGGATACACTCATTTTAAGCAGAACAGAAGGGCTCTGAGCGATTTCTATGGAGACACAACTGCACGAGAAACGTTTGTGATGCAGTATCAAACCAACAGAAAGTCAGATTAAACAATGGCGCGATCTTAACCACAGAAGAGGAACACAAGGGAAGGGCAGGAAAGACATGCACCGAGGCACTAGTGAGCCGGTGTCCTGTCTTTCTGTATAGCCCCAGGAATGCAGCATGGAGAAGATGCCGATTTCCCGCCCAATACTTCCATTGTGTGGGTGCCATTGCTAGGTTGGAATGGAAAGAAAAGCAAAGTCCTCCCTGGTCACTACCCACCACCCAGCAGAGAGTGGGGGCTCCAAGACAGCCTGGAAGGCAGCCAGGAAGAGCCCCAGACAGAGACCAGGCAGCACTGGGTTCAAATCCCGGCTCCCCAGCTCGTCACAACTCTGGACAAGTCACCACCTTCTCGGGGCCTCAGAAACACTCTGGGTAAAGTGACAACAGAGCCTACTCCTGGGTGGCCACAAGGGTCCACTGGGACCAGATGCAAGCGACCCCGTGTGTGCCAGGAGCAGAGCAGGTGCTTGGAGGCGGCCGCCCCTCCTACGGGCCCCTCCCTGGGTATGAGAGCAGGTGGGGGCCTCAGGCCCTGACTGGGATTCCCTGCAGCTCCGCAGGTCCAGCTGAAACAGCAAAGCCGCTTGCCGCCCATCACTTAAATAGCCGGGAAAGGAGGGCAATAAATAATTCAGCATCGGGTTAGCTCAGTGCCAAGGCCATTTGCTCTTGCCCAGAAGGTCAGACCGGGGCCACCCCTCATTAATTACCAAGCAGGAGGGGGACACACAGGTGCTCGGTTAACTATGCCTGCAGGAAAACGCTGTGGCCAGCGAGGGAGATAACCAAGACACCTGCCACCCAGCCACACACACGTGTGAGTATGTGTGTGTGTGTGCACGCGCACACGCGTGTGCACAACCGTAAGAGGTCTTGCATTCACCACCCTGGAACTCGCGCTTTCTTCCATGGGGCCTTGCCTCAGTTTACTCCGGAAGATACTTCCCATCAAACCTCGTTCCCTTCCCCTGCAGCCAAAGGCCAGGACCCAGCAGTGCCCCCCTGTTCTTCCTTTCCTGTGAGAGACACGAGGTAACCTCCAGAGAGCACTCACTGTAGGCCAGACCACGTACCTGGTGGCGGACATGCGCCATCTTGTCATCTCCGGGCCAAGCGGTCCATCAGTGGGAGGGGAGACGCTGCTGCCCTCCCCTGCCCCTGGGCAACGGCCCACTTTCCTTGGGAGAACCACCCCCACTTCACTCTAAGTCCATGGGGTTCCTCCAGGGCCGAGCCGACCCACCCCCTCCAGGCTTCAGGTGTGGGCATGGGACCCAGGCGGGCCATGGCATGACCTACTCGGAGGGGACGCGGGACCTGGACTGCTGAGTTGCCTGGAGCTGCTGGTGGCCATGGCGGCCTCCACACGGGGCAAGGCTCCTGGGGACAGAGCCAGGAGGGATGGGGGTCGCAGATTGGGAGGGTTTTTGTTGTTGTTGTTAATTTTGTGATTTTTCTTTTTTTTGAGTCGGAGTCTCACTCTGTCGCCCAGACTGGAGTGCAGTGGCCG